TATATATATATATATTTTTTTTTTTTTTTTTTTTTTTTTTTTTCCGGTACGCGGGCCTCTCACCGCTGCGGCCTCTCCCGCCGCGGAGCACAGGCTCCGGACGCGCAGGCTCAGCGGCCATGGCTCACGGGCCCGGCCGCTCCGCGGCATGTGGTATCTTCCCGGACCGGGGCACAAACCCGTGTTCCCTGCATCGGCAGGCGGACCCCCAACCACTGCGCCACCAGGGAAGCCCCTATATATATATTTTTGATTAATTAATTAATTAATTTATTTTTGTCTGTGTTGGGTCTTCGTTTCTGTGCGAGGGCTTTCTCCAGTTGTGGCAAGCGGGGGCCACTCTTCATCGCGGTGCGCGGGCCTCTCACTGTTGCGGCCTCTCTTGTTGCGGAGCACAGGCTCCAGACGCGCAGGCTCAGTGGTTGTGACTCACGGGCCTAGCTGCTCTGCGGCATGTGGGATCTTCCAGACTAGGGCTCGAACCCGTGTCCCCTGCATTGGCAGGCGGATTCTCAACCACTGCGCCACCAGGGAAGCCCCCCCTCCGCCCACATATTTGAAACAGCATAACCACCATCAACACACACACACACACACACACACACACACACACACACACACACACATCGAAATTTTATTGTCCACTTATCTAATATGTATCTGGTATTTGATATTAATGTATTCACTTTGTAAAAACTTTCAAATTAAAAAATTTACATTATCTTGAAATTACTTTTGCCAACTTCTCTAGCAGATATTTTGAAATATAAATTGGGTATGATTCTGGGAAGGTGACAAGGACAATCATATTTGAAACAAAAACCCACATATTTTTAAGACAGCAACCCATATAATATTATGGTATTGAGTGAAAATGTATTTTAGGTATTTCTTGACTCAGTGGATTTTTACAAAGCTACTGCAAAAGCTATTTTTACTTAAAGTTCTGTGATAATATATAAAAGTTAAAAGTAAAAAGATTAGTGACTTGACAATCTAAAAATATGTAGAAGCAGTGATCCTGATTGTTAATGATCTCAAGATTGGGATTAAAATTAATGTAAATCATCTTTAATTTGGTTAAATAAACCTGGGGGTAAACAGGGAATAATCTCAAACTAAATTTTTGTTTTGATTTATAAAAAGTCAGATTAAGACACCTAGTGACAAATTTAGAATAGGAACAGCCTCCTCTGGGTTCAAGGAAAAGCCTTTTGTTCCTTTATTGCTCATTTTGTCTTCAGAAACAAATGTAATTTAACTATTTTCTGTACCTCCCAGATTTAAAATTGACCCAAATTAGATAACTGCAAGTTTTACAACGGCTAAGGTCAAAATGGTCAAAACAATTTCTTTAGAATGAATGAAATATATTGAGGGTTGAGCTTCTCACATGAATGAGTTAATAATCCTTCATCATTTAAACTTAGTTAACTGGTTTTCTCAGGGCAATTATTTTACATGAAATTTTATGAATATAATATTAGTTAAGAAAAACCTCCCACAAAACAATGAGAGCTATTAAATAGAGC